AGTCACCAACAGCAGCAGCAACTGCAGCAGCAACTGCAGCAGCAAGTGCAGCAGCAAAGCAGCAGCAAAAGCAGCAGCAAAGTTGAACAGTTGTGTCGCTGAGCTGTACGTACACCCGCGCAGACTGCTCGCAGCGGGAAAGAAGGTTTTTGTGTTCTCTGTTGAGTTCGCGGAACAAAGAGTGCTCCGAAGAAGTGGCGAAAAAGGTGAATTAAAAAAAGTGGAAAGAACGAATTAATTCCTGCTGCAGCCCGCGCGATTGCATGCGTCTGCGGTGTACGTACAGCTCAAGCCCGGCAACTGCTGCTACACCAAATGCGCGCAGCTGCAGTGCCCCTCGGGGGACTTTCGGGAGTTGGAGCCTTCGGAGGATTTAAAAGTTAGTTATTTCTTTTTTCTTTTTTTAATTCAACTTTGAAGCAGAAAAAGGCTTTTAATGCCACTTTGCTGCTGCTAAACTTCCAATTATCTGCCAATTATCCCAACAAACTACTCATCCAACGCCCCGCTGCTGCTGCTGCTGCTGCTGCTGCTGCTGCTGCTGCTGCTGCTGCTGCTGCTGCTGCTGCAGTATATGGACTGCGAAGGAGGGGCTTACAGAAGAAGATGCGAAATTAGAAAAGAAGAAAAAGTTCTCGAGTTCAATCCCGTGGCGGTGCCTTTGACGCTGCCGGTGGAGTGAAATTCATTTTATTTATTATTTTTTTATTTTATTTTATTTATTTCTTTTTGTTTCTTTTTAATTTCTTTTTTATTTCTTTTCTATTTCTTCTTTATTTCTTTTTAATTTCTTTTCTATTTCTTTTTTATTTCTTTTTGTTTTTTATTTTCCCCTTTTGCTGGTCTTTATCTTCTTTCTTTTCCTCATTTGTTTCTCTTTTTGAGTTTTTTATTTTCTCTTTTTCGCTTTTTCTTTTTTGCTGCCTTTGGGTCTTTTTCTTCAAGTCCTTTTGTCTCCTCTTAAAGTGGAAAAGTTGCAAAACTATTTTGCATTTATTTGAATTCTTTTGTTGCATTTCTTCTCCAGTCTTTGCATGCAAAAAACAATTTAAGTTTCTTCTTTTTGGTTTTCTTCTTTTGTTTTTTTTCCTTTTATTTCGCTTTCAAAGGGCAACAAAACAATAAAAGAAAGCAGCAGCAGCAAAGCAGCAAAAAGAATTCCACTGCAGCAAAATGAAAACAAAGCAGCAGCAGCAGCAGCAGCAGCAGCAGCAGCAAAGCAGCAAATGCAATCAAATGAATTTATTATTTGTTTGACTGCTTCCCTGCAGTCAAAACAAACAATAAATTCATTTAATTGCAGAATTAAAAATGAATTTTATTTTAAATTAAAATTCAATTTCCAAAAAAGAATTAAAATGAAAAGACGGCGCCGCCGCTGCGGCCGGCTGCTGCGCTGCTCAGGTGTACGTACACCTCAACTCTGGCCCCAGAAAGCAGTTTTTGAAAATAAAAAAAATAAATTTAAATAAATAAAAGACAAAAGTTTTGAAGAAAAGAAGAAGTAATAAAAGAATTAAAAAACAAAAGTTCAAAATAAATAAAGACAAAAGGATTAGAGAAAAGAAAAGCACAAAAAATGTTAACAACTTGAATAACAAGCGAAGAATAATTAATTAATTAATTCATTTCATTTTGAAAAAAATGAAATGAATTTAATTAAATAATTTATTTCATTTTCAACAAATGAAATGCACTTAATTATTTATTTCTGCGGAGAAGACAACTGCTGCTGCTGCTGCCGCCACTGCAGCAGCAGCTGCAGCAGCAGCTGCTGCTGCTGCTGCTGTTGCTGCTGCTGCTACAGCAAAAGCAGCAGGCAGTGCTGCCGCTGCTGCAGCAGCAAAAGCAGCAGCGGTTGCCGCTGCTGCCGGCGCAGCAAAAACAGCAGCTGCCGCCGCCGCCGCCGCCGCCGCAGCTGCAGCAGCAGCAGCAGCAGCAGCAGCAGCAGCAGCAGCAGCAGCAGCAGCAGCAGCAGCAGCAGCAGACAAAGGGGGTCAAATGAAAATGTTGGAGAAGTGCATAGCAGCAAATCTGTCTGCGTCTTCTCTGGCTTTCGTAAAAGTCGTTTTGGGGTCATCTAAAGACAAATAAAATTCCCTTTCGCCCATTTTGCTGCTCAGCAGCCACCCCTGCTGCGCCTCTTTTGCTGCTAAGGCCCTCACGGAGGCCGCCACTCCCGCGCTGCTGCTTCCTGCTGCTGCTGCTGCTGCTGCTGCTGCTGCTGCTGCTGCTGCGGCGGCGGCGGCAGGGCTGCTGCCCTGGTCCTCCTCAGCGCCCTCGGCCGCAGCAGACGAAGCGCTGCTGCTGCTGCTGCTGCTGCTGCTGCTGCTCGGGCTGCAAGGACCGCTGCTGCTGCTGCTGCTGCTGCTGCTGCTGCTGCTGTTGGGGCAGAGCTGGGGCTCTGCAGCAGCAAGAAACTTGCAGTGCATGTGGCCCACGCGCTGCACTTCTTGTTCGGAGAAGCAAAAGTTCTTCAAATAAGCACAAGAGCTGCTGCTGCTCACGCAGGGCCGGTTCGAGCTGCGGTGTACGTACACCCCACACCCCACACCCCAGCCTGCTCCAACCCTTCCTTTTCAAATTCAAACCAGCAGCAGCAGCAGCATTGCAGCAGCAGCAGCAGCATTATTGCAGCAGCAGCATTGCAGCAGCAGCAGCAGCATTGCAGCAGCAGCAGCATTGCAGCAGCATTGCAGCAGCAGCAGCAGCAGCAGCAGCAGCAGCAGCAGGACATGCGAATGGCCTTGTTGGCCTTGTTGAAGTAGACGAATCTGTAGGAGTCTTCTTGGCGCATTGTCTTTCGAAACTCCGCCGAAAGAATTCCATTTAAGGCCCGCAACCCGCAGGGGCCCTCCACTGCTGCAGCGCGAAGCGCCTGCAGCTCCTGCGCACGCAAACCACAAACTAGGGTTTAGGGTTTAGGGTTTAGGGTTTGGCCCTCGCCCCCAACGGCCTCCAGTTCCAAACTAACACCCTCCCCAACACTGAGGGCCCCCAGGGGGCCCCTGGGGCACCACGAGGTACCCTGGGGGGCCCCCGGGGCCCCCGGGGGGCCCCCGGGGGCCCCTTGGATCCCCTAGGGGCCCCCCTGGGGGCCCCCGAGTTGGGTTTGATTGGAGTTGAACTGACAGCAACGTCGGAGGTTTTTGGGTCTTTTTCGTCGAGCAGCAGCAGCAGCAGCAGCTGCTCGTAAGTGAGGGCCAAGAGGGCCCCCTTGGAGTCGTCGGGGAGATGCAGCAAAGGGAGAAAAGCAAATTCTCTGCAAAGTTCAAACGCACACAGCAACTCTGCTGCTGCTGCTGCTGCTGCTGCTGCTGCTGCTGCTGCTGCTGCTGCTGCTGCTGCTGCTGCTGCTGCTTCTGCTGCTGCTGCTGCTGCTGCTGCTGCTGCTGCTGCTGCTGCTGCTGCTGCTGCTGCTGCTGCTGCTGTGATTCTGCTGCTGCTGCTGGTGTTGAATTACACTGAATTGTACTGATTCTACCGAATTAGATGGAATTAAAGTGAATTGAAGTGAATTAAAATGAATTAAATTTAATTAAAATGAATTAAATTGAATTAAAATGAATTAAATTGAATTAAATTAAATTAAATTAAATTAAATTAATTGTTTTTAAACTTGCCCCAAAGGCCCAAAAAGAAAGCCAGTGGATTGGCTCGCAGAAATGGCCCGGCCAAAAGAAGAACTTCCGCCCCCAGGCTGCAGCAGCAAATAAAACAAATAAAAGAAATTAAATTAAATTAAATTAAATTAAATTGAATTAAATTATTTAATTTAATTAATTTAATTAATTCAATTTAATTAATTTAATAAAACATTAACACAAAAATAAATGCAAAAATGAAAATAATAATAATGGGAATAAATTCGAAATAAACACTTGTGCATTTTGCAAAGAAAAGAAAAAAAGCAAATTGCCAAAAGGTGAGAAAAAGGAAAACAAAAAAAGAACAAAGACAAAAGATAAAGAAACCAGCAGCAGCAGCTGCTGCTGCTGCAGTAGAAGCAGCAGCAGCAGCAGCTGCTGCTGCTGCTCCAGTAGAAGCAGCAGAAGCAGCAGCAGCAGCAGCAGCTGCTACTGCTGCAGTAGAAGCAGCAGCAGCAGCAGCAGCAGCAGCTGCTGCTGCTGCTGCGGCAAAGGAAAGGGAAAGCGGGAAGCTGCTGCTGGCGTGCCTTTGCTGCTGCTGTGGGGGCCCTGCCGTAAGGGGCTTTGGTGAGTTTGCTGCTGCTGACTGCTGCTGCACCTTCAGCAGCAAATAAGAGATTATACAAAACCACAAAAGGGTCAGCAGCAGACTCGAGGCCTGCGGGGCAGAGGCAGCAGCCAGCAGCAGCAGCAGCAGCGCCAGCAGCAGCAGCGCCCCCAGCAGCAGCAGCAGCAGCAGCAGCAGCAGCAGCCGGCACCAGGGGGGCCGGGAAGCTGCAGCAGCAAAGACAAGAAAGGAAATTTAAAAAATAAATTTAATTTAAAAGTATTTTAAACAAATGCTTTTTGGCTTTTAAATAAATAAAATTCGCAAAAATGCACTCATTTGAATTTCCTTTTGATTCTTTTGCTTCTAATTGTCTGCTTCTGCATGCAACTTTTACTAAAAACATAAAAACAAAACAAAATAAAATAAAATAAAATAAAACACAATAAAATACAATAAAATGCGAAAATAAAAGGAAAAGATTTAAAATGGAACGCGAGCGCATGCATGCAGCGGCTGCTGCTGCTGCTGGTGTGCGTACACCCCAGGCTGCGCGGTGTACGTACACCCCAGCCCAGCAGCCCAAAAAACTTTTGACAATTTATTGAATTTATTTAAATTATTTAATTCATTTAATTCATTTAATTCATTTAATATATTTACTTTATTTAATCCATTTAATTTATTTTATTTAATGTATTTAATTCATTTAATTTATCTAATTTATTTAATTCATTTAATTTATTTAATCCATTTAATTTATTTCATTTAATTTATTTAATTATTTATTTAATTCATTTAAAAGCTCACGACTGGTAAAGAAGACAGCCGTTAATGACCAAAGCTGCATGCAAAATTGAAGGAAATTTATTTTGCAAAAGAGAAATCAAAGAAGGAACTGAAAGGTAAGCCAGGCGGTCCGCGGGGGCGTAGTGGACTCCTGCTGTTGCTGCAGCAGCAGCAGCAGCAGCAGCAGCAGCAGCAGCAGCAGCAGCAGCAGCAGCAGCAGCAGCAGCAAAGGGCGAGTGGTGGGTCGAGGAAAGGGGAAAAGGAATGCGTCCGTAAATGAGAAATAATGGAACAGCAAATCGAGAAAAAGACAAAAAGAAAAAAATTAAAAAAGTGGAAATACGAAAGGCTTTGGAAAAGGCATTTAATTAACTTTTCGCAAAACAGCACTTATAATGGACAAGTGCAAAAACAAAAAAGAAAAAAAACATTTAAATATTGCATTTATAAACGCATGCAAGTCGAGCTCTTTGTGACAATTGAAAAAGAAAGAAAAGACCTTTTTGATTCAAAAATAACGACACAAACAAGAAGGCCGCGGGGTGTACGTACACCCCGCGGGGTGTACGTACACCCCGCGGGGTGTACGTACACCGCAAAAAACGCACCGTGGAAAAGGGAAAGCTTTTTGGGGTCAATTGTTTCGACAAAAGCTGCAGAAAAGTCATTTAGGACTTCTCTGAGTTCATCTCTTTTTTGGTTTTTCAAGAACAAGTCGAAGCGGCCGTGCAGCAGCCGGAAGACTGCGGCGAAGTTCCGCAGAACCTGAACGGCAGGGAATCCGGAGGAAATTATTTCCAAGTTGGACAAAAAGGGAAAATAAAAGAACAATTAAACAAAATAAAAATTAAATTCAAACAAAAAGCGAAAAAACGCGAAAAAAAATCCAAAATTCCGAAAATTCGCCGAATTTGCAAAACCTGGGCAGACACTCTGGGGTGTACGTACACCTAAAAGGATTTCCTCCCGAGTGTCTTCTTCGACGCTTTTCAAACTTTCCAAAAGAGGAACTGAAAAGGACTGCAGCAAAGAAAGAAAAGAAAGTTTAATAATTTCTTTTTAATCTTTTATTATTTCTTTTCATCTTTTACTTATTCTGTTTCATCTTTTCAGTTTCAAAACGCGGCTTCAGCTGCTCCCAGGTGTACGTACACCCCGAGACGCCCCGCAGCTGCACGTACACCCCGCGGCCCGTTTTCAGGTGTACGTACACCCCAGAAGCTCACCATCGCCAGCCAGTAATTCAACTCCACTTCTTCAATCACAATTATATATTTTTCCGTGCAAATGGACTTCAAAGGCTGGCCCCCCGGAGTGAAGGGTCTGCGCACATTGCGGTGTACGTACACCTCAGACCTTGCAGCAAATCTGCCGCACAAACCAAGCCTTTCTGCTGCTGCTGCACTGCTGCTGCTGCTGCTGCACTGCTGCTGCTGCTAGCTGCACTGCTGCTGCTGCTGCTGCTGGCTGCTTGCTGCTGCTGCTGCTTGCTGCAGCATTTCACGTGAAAGAAAGCTTTTGCTGCCTTGCAAGGCCGAAAAGGATTAGTTTTTTGCGGACAAGAAGCAGCAGCAAACAGCAAAAGTGGAATTAAAGTTTAATTTATATTTATTTCGAAAAAAGACTCTTTTGCTGCAGCAAAAGCCCCCACTTGGTGAACAGCAAAAGCCCCTCCAGCAGCCCCGCCTGGCTGCGCCGCTCCTCCGGCTCTCTGTCTCTGGGAAAGCTGAAGACCACTTTTGCTTCTTGTTCTTTTTCTTCGCGCGAAAGGCCCTCTTCTTCCTCTTCTCCCGACTCTGCTGCTGCTGCTGCTGCTGCTGCTGCTGCTGCTGCTGCTGCTGCTGCTGCTGCAGGGTCTTCGGCCGCGGCCGCGGGCGCGGCGGGCTCCGGCTGCAGCGTGGGGTTGAAGAGCAGAATGCCCACGACGCACGGGCCCGCGCCCCCCCCTGCTGCTGCTGCTGCTGCTGCTGCTGCTGCTGCAGAGGCGGCTGCGGCGTCCCGCTTCGGGGAGCCTTCCGCGGGGGGCTTCCTCGCGGAGGAGAAGAACATTGCGGAAATGACAAAGTGCGAAAAGCAAGGAAAGAACTGGCGCGGAGTTGCTGCGCGAAGTCGCTGCACACGCAGCGCAGCGACGGCGGTCCGGCAGCAACTCCGGAAACCTGAGGGAAACCGGCGCCAAACTCCCGCCGCAGAGGCCTCCGCTGCTCCCGTGTCTTCAAAAACACTTTTCAATTCAGACAATTCAAAAAAAAAGAAGAAAAGTCACAAAAATGCGCCGCCAAGTTGCGAAATCCGCGGCGCGGCGGGCGGCGGCGCTGCGGTGTATAGGCAGCTCGTTCAGAAACTCGCCGCGACTGCGCACAGCCAACTTCAGAATTTGTTTTTTTGCGCGAAGTTCGTTTGAAGTCGACGAAATGAATTATTGCAAATAAGTTCCACCGAGTTGAAAAGATCCTTTTCGAGCTCTTTCCGCGGTCGCGCAGCCACGCACTGCTGAACTGCATGTGCACTCAGCAG